TATGTTAACTTTAGTTGTTATGAAATTGCTCTATAAAATAAAAGAAATGTGACATCACATCTAATATGGCATGAAATTAGCCAATTTTTCTTTAAGAACCTCCTACCATTTCCAACACTCCCACTTCATCACATCATCACAACAATGCTTCATGCTGTTTACAAACCTTTGTAGGGGAAAAGTCCAATTATTTTTTGATGAACTGTGTCATCTTTAGGAATTATAAAAAGAGGGTTGTCTCCTTGGCATCCAGAAACACACTTCCTCGGTGAAGGCATTATCTAATCCGAAAAGACCTGGACTAAGTCAGTAGAAGAAGTATAAGCTCAGCAGAAGTGCAGTTCCACAAGGTGTTTGCTAATTGTTGCTGTCAGTAATGGTGGAACTGTGTGTGGGAAAAGGGGTGCCATGTGGGGTGGGAGCTCGGCTGCAGACTGAGCTCCAGGGAGGAGCTTTGTGTAAATAGGCGGAGCTTTGTAGCAGCAGGTGTTCAGGCAGCTCCACAAGGCTACCACAGGAGATTCAAGGATGCCTCAAACATGTATGAATGAGTCAAACCAACACTCTGGGTATGTTTTTGATGAAAGAATGACATAACATGATATAAAGCTAAAAAAAGTTGACTTTGCATAATAACCCCCTTTAAGGAAAATGTAAAACCCAAGTGTTCGTATACTCACGTTGGACCATCAGCTATCATCGCAAGTACATGGCTCAGGTCTACAGCAAAGGTCTCCAGATCAGGATAAGGGAGGCTGAGAGGTTTTTGTTGTTTCAGGGCTTCTGCGTCAGCATAAACATTAAATATTCCATCTTTCATCTTCAGCTCATAGTTCAGGTTCTCAGGAATACTCTCCATGGAGTATGGATCCTCTCCTTCCTGAGGGAAAGGCCAGATGTCTGCAATTGATTGGAGCAGATAAATAAAACAGATTATGAAAAGGATGTAGTTGAACTGAATAACATTAAATAAAAATCGATATATCTAGCTTAACATCCATCCATTCAATTTCTTTTCATTGTGGAGGCAACAGGTTTAAGAGGGAAACCCTAACATCGAATTCCCTAACAACACTCTCCAGCACCTTTTTGAGAATCCCAGGATGGATCTGGGATTTTATCTGATCCTGATCCAGATCTTATGACCATAAGCGAGCACGAAACTTATCCCCAACTCAGAAGAAAAATACCATGTTTTTTCTGTTGAGAGCCACATCGTAGCTGCTTCAACTATAGCTTCAAACCACAATACATGCTTAAGATCTTGGCTTGAAGTCACCAACAGAGACATATCAAATGTAAAAACTGAAGCCGAGGCCCTGAGGTTCCTGAATCTGATACCCTCTTCTCCACGTTTACCCTTTGATTCCCATCAATGAACACCATGAACAAAATCACACACAATGGACAACCCCGGTGGAGTCAAACCTTCACTAGGGAAAACGGTTTGACTTTGTGCTGAGAATCCAGATACAGCTCTCAGCTTTGGTTTCACAGTGACCAGGTAATGCCCACTACAGGCTTCCTTTGGTAACACCATTGGAGTAATGTAATGTAATGTAATGTAATGTAATGTAATGTAATGTAATGTGTATTTGGAAACTACTACATGTAGTTCTAAACGATGACCAGAGAATTTATGCATTTAATTACGGAAGACTCAGGAAATACACCATCCAGTTATTGGAGCAATTTTCCATCCAACCATTTAGAGAGGTTGGGAGGTTCAGAGTCTTACCAAAGGACAATTCAACATTCAACTGAACAGCAGGGGAATCAAACCGTCAAGTCTCTTAATGAAGGATGACTCCCACAGCTGAGTGCAGCCAAACATCACCAGCCAGTTCTCCACCTGCCACAGTTCTCAACAGGAAAATGATTTAATGTTTCCTCTGCATTGGGGGTGAGTCTTTGCCTCATATACAGTCTTGCACCCATAATGTGGTGTAACAGTCATTGTTCCTGTTTGAGCCACTAATCAGCCAAACATCAAAGATCCTTTTTTTATTTTTTGTCTTTGAAGTAAGATCCCTATGTGCTTGCATCATGTTTTACCTGTTTAAGCTGCTTTATTTAGTTACACACTCAGACTTTAAAAATGCCTAAAAGTGAAAACTGCACAAAAACATTAGATATCAATTTTAACTTAGTAATTAGCAATTAGTTTTTTCAATTTTTTTTTACCTAATTAATAATTTACCTAAATTATTAATGTTTTGGAGGAGTACATTTAGCAAATGCTTCTAAATGTGTGTCTTGTAATCTGGAGTTTGGAATGGTCTAACTCAGAGGTTCTCAAACTGGTGTCCCTGGACCCCCAGGGGTCCGCGAGAGGTATTTTGGGGGTCCTCAAAAATTTTTTACTAAAATGTTAATTTGTTTTTTATTTTTAAAAATGCATGGATAACACTGAACTAATAAAACAAACATAATAAACTTAAAAATTTACAATCTCATGGCATTTAGGGGTTGAAATGACAATAAATTATCTTTTAAAACAGCATGGGGTTTATGAGGGGGGTCCCTGGAATTTTTTTCGCCCTTGTAAGGGGTCCCCAGACCCAAATGGCTTGAGAACTGGAACTGAACTTGGCTTACACACACTTCACTCTTACTGTGATACAAACACAAAGAGAGCTTAAAATAGCTTTGAAGAGGTGAAATACAGTTTGCTTGTCTGTACAAACTAAAACAAAACTAAACACAATCTGAATAATTTACAGCAGGATAAATACAAACCACATTTGCTGGCCCACTTTCATGTTTACTCAAATTTAACTGAGAATGAAATGGTTCATACTGGGTAAGACCTCCTCCTCCTCCTTCCACTCTCTGTTTTCGGCTACACGAAGAATACGGGCAGTGGTTCTTGGGAAACGGTGGTATGCCAGCCTGGAGTACTTCTCTCTGATGAAGAGCGCTTTAAGGAGACCCTCGGATGCATGTTCATAATCCTCAACTGTGATCTGGAAACAGATTTTTAACTGTCAGAGAGCTGAAAATTCATAAAGTTAAATGATTCATTCATTCATTATCCCTTGTTGCCATAGAGTGTGAGTAATAATGTAATTTCTTGCATGTGTGTTCTTGGTTTATTTTTTCTTTTTAGGACTTTTTATGGTATAACAATCTACCTTCTCAGGACCACTATTCCTTATGGTGTCTAAACCTGGTGGAACATCTTCAGGTCAGGTCAGGTCAGGTTAGGTTAGGTTTTCTATGACTTCCATTTTTATTTTCTTGGGTTTGTCTCGGTCTACTTCTGTCAGTGAATAAAGTTTAGTCTTTTTGAGTACCCATTCTTGGTAGCATTACTTTTATTACAGCCAGATTAGCAGTAGGTGCTTTTGCTCCTAGTGCGTGTTGTAGTTACAGTACATACACACCCCTGCACAGTAATCCCCGCTGATGGTTACTCGCTGGTAGTCTGGGAAGTCCTCCAGGGGAAAAGGATCTGCCATGCCTGGAGTGGGCAGAGGGGATGTTGCAGATTGCTTCCAGTCATCGGGCAGCTGTAAAGATATCGACTGCGAGCGCTTCAACAAGAAATTCTTCTTCCTGATGATACAATCACAGTGATTACTCTACTGATAATCTAAGACATCTTGTTTAAGTTAACTGGGACATTCCCTCTGTTTAGCTATTTAAAAAGTAAAGGTTTGAACGTTTTTCCACTTCCCACCTCTGAACAGACTCCTGAGACTTCTGCTCGGCCAACTCCTTCTGCAGCTCCCGCTCCCTGTCCTGGTGCAGGCCGATTGGACAGTCCTCAGGGACAGAGAACAGCGACAGAGCATGCTTGGTGTTTTCCTGGTTCAGGGCAGAGGCGTACACCTTCTCTGCCATCAGACGTATCTTCTCATCAGCCTCACACATTGACATCTTTGGGAAAAGACGTGGCGTGTCTGGGAAAACAAGGTTTGCATCTCTGAGTCAGTTTTTGCAAAAATGTTTCTAAAGAAAGTAATCTCAGATACATGTTGTAAGCCATAACTAGCATAGAAATATGCAGTAAGAGCTGTTTTAAATAAAAATATTTTTAAATTGGATGCATATTGTTTTGCGGAATTTGGGGATTTTTGGCATCACGAGAGATGAATTGCAGTCAATAACAGTTGTTGACAGCAGGCAGTTATAAGTCCAGTTCGTTTTCTGTATTCTAAATCAAAACAAGGTGTTGATATAATGTTTCATCAGTTTAATGTGATTAAAATATGACATGATTAAACATCTTAGAAACCCAAATATCACATAGAAAAACTGCAGATGATTTAATTTAAGTTGGAATGCAGTGCTGTTCTGCAGTTTCTCATCCTCACTCACATTTGTAAACATGTCTCGAGAGGTTGGCTCTTATTTCTTTACCTGATACTCAATCTGCCAAAGTACCGCGCAAGTTAGTCAACACATTCAGTCCACATCATCGGTGTGCCAGGTTGGTATTGTGACCTGTTGACTCCCTACAGAGTCAGAGTCAGAGTCATGAGACCTGAATCCAGTTTGATTCCTCAGCTATCTACAGATGCTTCACTGTTTGATGTTCATTTGTTGTTATGCTAGTGTGGCTGCTTTACCCAAAACCACACCATTTAATATCAAGGATACAACTTCAGTGAGTTTATAGAGACTGTTCCAGAGTTAAGAGAAGGCTGAGAAGGTTCTGTACCCCTTAGTCACCAGTCAAATCTTAGGAACCACCAAGAACATCTGATCTTCATTTAAAAAACAAGAGTAAAACTTCAAAAACAATCCTAAAAGAAACAGTCAGTGAAGTGAATGCAGTATAGAGGTAATGTGCTCACATCATCTTATCCCCAGTAACAAATTCCACTATAAAGGGAGTTGCAATAATCCAGCCTGAAGAAGATAAAGCTTGACCTTGCTAATAAGCCTTAAATGATAAAAACTAGACCGTATCACCTCACTGACCTGAAGTTATTGTCTAAAATAACCCCAAGATTCATAAAAAAGTGGAAGTCTGAGTCCAAGAGGCCAACAGCACTGTTGAAACCTATCAGTAGATCAGTTTTTTTTAAATCCATTGGCCTCTGTTTTATTTTCATTTAGAAAAAGAAAGTTTCGCTCCATCCATGTTTTAACATCCTTTAAACAATTCTGCAGATTCTCCATACACTGAGGTCCACTAGATCTTAATGGTGAATAAATCTGGATGTCATCTGCATAAAAATTAAATGACACACTGCATTTCTTGAAACTGAACCCCAGTGGAAGCAAATATGGAGAAAATACAATGGGGCCCAGTATGGTGTCTTGAGGTACCCCACATGTGTGTATATTTTCTGCCTTTTGACATGAGACTATGACCTTTTTTATAGTGTTTTGGCCTTTCTATGTTTTCTAAAAACTTTACTCTTACATGTGAACTAAAGTAAAATAAATAAATGTTTTACTGTAATAGGGAAAGAAAGCATGACTCAGCTGTTAAAACTACAGCAAATAAAAAGTTCAGTTCCCAGGACTTAAAACTGTTTTTATTGTAACATGGAGAGGAAGCCTGACCCGGCAGTTTCAACTGCAGTGGTTCTCAGGACTTAATGAAACCATTTTGTTTATTTGCACTGCAAGAGGCCTGGTTCTATTTTTAACTCGGACTCTGTGAAATTGTATCAGAGCAGTTGAACAACAACAGAATCCCTTTTTTAATAGCTCGGTTCGAGGCCTTGACCTCCCCTCATATAAAAACTGGAAAACTGTCCAGCATCCCATCTGTGGTGTAGATGTTTAACTATTTAAATCAGCAAGTCGTCACTGCTGCTGATAATATTGTTGCAGTCAGAATGTGGGTCATTTGGGCAGATCTAGGATTGATTTGTCTGGAGATGTAAAAATCAACAAGACAAGGTGTGTGTGTGCGCGCGTCTGTGTATCAAATGACTCACTTCTTGGCTGCTGCCTGCGAGCCACGTGCAACTCTATCTGACCAAAACATTCATTAATCTTGGCACCTCCTGTGCCATTTGCCCTCGCACTGGTACTATTTACCACCTGAGCCTTTGAAAGTACTTTTTGGAAGGTGTCCTTCAGGCTTAGCCTCTGAGCATGTGAACATTCTCTCTGAGCAGGAACAGCTGAGCAGCTTTGTGGGTTACCTTTTTTTATTTTATAACAACTGAAGAAACATGACCTGCTTTGATCTGCTTTTGTGTGTGGGTACTTACTTATCAAAACATTAAAGTTACTCTGACAAAATATAAAATGCAGGGATGTCCTGAACTAAATTATATGGTCTAGTTTGAACAAGTTTAATAAAGTGGTTTTCCAGATACACTAAATATATAGAGAGATAGATATATAAGTAAAATAAAAAATACTGATATGCAATTTAGAATTGCGGGTATGCACTTAATGTAAACAAAGTGCTTGGCTGGATCTGCCTAAAACCAAGTGAGACCTTAAGTTACATGACTGACCTACATTAGGCTCTGTATGCATACTTTACTCAACAAATATGAGTGTCAACAAGTATCAGTACATCAAAATTATCTGACTTCTACATCCCTAACAACCCCTCCAATGGACATCACAAGTGTTGACCATATTGTCAGTGACTTCATAGATAAACAAACAGAGTAGTTGGCAGCAACTCACAAACGTTGCTAAAACCACTTAATTTAAGGACACATTAACCATGAATATGTGAAAAACATTGATTTATTTTAGAATTAATGACAGCGAGTATTAACTTTACTCTGTTGAAATGTTTTTAAACAAATAGCTGTTTATAAACGTAAATATTACTCCAAAATCAAATCCGTCTCATTTTATTTATGATGTCATCCAGCCAACATCCGATGAAAGAAGCCCCATAAAACTGTACGTAACTGTCACCACTTCTCATAATCCACAGGTTCCACACTCTCTTACCTTCTGCTGTGATTTGAGCCATGTTTGGCTCTCAGTTTTCTCCTGTTGATTCACTTTTTGTTTCAGCTTGCTTAGTTTTGGACTGTTTTGGTTGCTAAACTCTCATCTTCAGCGTCACCATTTTATTAAAGTAGAACAGTGGCGTTTTATAATTTTCTGAAGGAGTGTCCTCAAGTCTGATGTCTCTGTGTCTGTGATGCTTCTCTTCAGGCTGCTCGCTCTCACTGCCTCTGTTCAGCTTCGCTCTGCTGTTTACGTGGTCCACTGGCTGTAGCTATGATGCAGCTGCTGGCGGCTGCTGCCTTAAAGTGTCCCTTTCTGTCTCTATTTTAGGATGTAGAGAGAGTCATAGCAACGGGGGCCTCTAATCCAAGCTGGTATGTGTAGTCTGGAGCAACAGTGAGGGAATGAAACGTTTAAGGCCCTGTCACACTAGAATGTTAAACAACTTGTGCAAATTTTGTCCAACACACTGGTGTAAGTTGTGTAAATTACGTGTTGAGTTTTGAGCATGTTCTCAGCACCATGGACTGCCAATCATTTTGAGTGTTTAGAGTGTGACACTCATAGTTTAAATGTAAAGAAAAATAAACTAAAGAGATTTTAGGAGTGCCAGTCCAGGTTCTAAGCTCCATCATCCATCAACTTTCTTCTCTAAAGCAAAAAAAAAAAATTTACTTTTTTTTTATGGCCTCCCTTCTCCCCCTATAGCCATCCTTTCCACACCATTATTATA